GGATAAATGGACTTATGACAGAAAAGACTTAATATTCCAGCTTCCCTCGAAGTTACACTAGCAGGTGAAAGGTGGCTCAAAGTAGACACCGAAAATTTCCGCAGGGAATACAGCTTGGCAGTCTGCGAAACAGCCTTCTGGGTCGCAGGCTGAAACTTTTTCGCAGCAACACGGCTTGTCCGGCGGGTCGGCATCTGGAAAATTAGAAGCGCAATCCCTCCGTGACAATTCTAGGTCAACACACCCTTCATAGTATGGCTTTAACCCATGGAGCCTGAAAATTCCAGAGACTGAAAGTGGTAATACCGTGCCTTGAACAAGTACCTTCGTATTCCACCTCACGTCGTACCTTTATTTCTTGAGACACACAGTGGAAACTTGGAGATCTTCTCGACGTACATTCCAGCCGTGCCGAAGTGAAATAAGGATCTCATAGAATGTCCCATGAAGTAGTTTTTTACCTTCGTGTCATCCGACTTTAATGCTTTTTTTCCGGGAGAAACTGGATAAGGATTCTGCTCCAAATTGATAAGGTAAGAATCATCTCCGATGTTTATTACTCTCTTGTCAGAGAGTTCATTCAATGAAAAGAGAAAATCATGGGATTCCATTGCACTTTATTCACAATTGCAAAGCACAAATTTTGACTTTCGATCATGGTTTAGTGTGCCTTGAGCATCTTGGCGAAGTTAACCTTACTCGCCATGGCATCTGGAAGAGGAAAATCAAATGATACAAAAATTGATTTCGAATCATAAAAGCACGTCTTTTTGCATAGTACTTTATCGCAAAGAAAAATGTACACCTCAGAAAGATTGGGAAAATATTTGGAATAATTTCAGCGATAACGACGAAATGAGTGTGCAAGGGAATGAACAAATCATGCTAGTGTTAGTTCTCTCATTAAGGACTCAGAGTGGAACTTTCTACTAGATATATACTTATGACGGAAAAGACTTACTATCGCAGCCGTTAGAGAAACACCAGCAGGTGTAAGGTGGCTCAAAGCAGATACCGACATTATCCGTGGGGAAGATTGTGTCACATAACTCGAAACAGCCATTTGGGTCGCATGCTCCTTCTCGATCGCAGCAGCACGGCTCGACCGGCGGGTCGGCATCTGGAAAATGAGATGCGCAGTCCCTCCATGAAATGCTGATATGCAGAACCAAAACCAGCAATCACTATGCTTTGCAGCGTTCGTGTTGATCGTGCAAGTAGGAGACGTGAACACCCAAGCCGTAACTCGAAGGATCTGGGTCCTCCATACACGTTAATGTCGGCTTAAAAATATATCAACATATATTCCACATATCCCAGAAAAGCAGTCATCGACATGAAATACATAAAAACAATGGAGCTTTTGAAGATTTTCTTGATTACCACAGAAAAAGAAAAATCTCAACAGGATACAGAACATTCCCAGAAATAAAATGATGTGCTGCAGTCCTTAATGTAAGATTCCCTCAAAGCACAAGTCGATGGAAAATCCGGAAAGTGTAAAATTGTGTCACTCACAAGCAAGAGCGCAGATGGCGAAGAGAGCGAAGATTGCCTTCATGGTGCTGGTTGTGTTACTCCTGAGTTGGGTTTGTCTACTTGATTGTGTTCTTAAGACTTGAATGTGAGGATTTCGGCGACCTCTGGAGATTTTATCTGCTTGGATCCCCGACGACGAATTTCCGTGTGAATGGAAAAACGTTGTTCCTTAGATATGTGCACATCAATCGCTTTTGTTTCTTGGAAGGGAGGACAAGAGGAAAATCCCGGATGGATGTTGAAATACCACGACGTGGGATTTCCCTCCTCGACGCGTTATACCCACAATAGACTCAAGGGCATAAGAAACCAGTAGCCAATAGAACTTCCCGGACGAAGTCGAAGGAGCATTCAGCAGGTGTTATTGAAGTGCTGATGGAGATTAAAAAAAAATAAACAGGAATGGTTTTGTCTTGTATTACATGAAATTATTTGGAAGTCTTTGACCCCTTCTTTTTTTTATAATACGTTTTCACGATTCAGCCAGCGATGTCATTTTATATTTCATCTGCAAGATGAATATTGTCACATATCAGGTGACGCAAATGACACGTGTCCTTTTCCAAGGTTTCTAAAGACTACTGTATGCATGTTGGATTTCTCCTTTATTTGTGTCACGCAGAAAAAATAAAATAAAATAGTTTTTTTTTTTCATGAATGCTTAAATGTGATCGATATGATGCCTCATGTGATCGATATGGACCTTTGAATTTAGTTAGCCTTTCGTACTAGAATATCACTCCACACGTCATTTGTGTCTCATTCGTGTCACGTCTACGTTTTTCTGCATTAGTTACAGAGTCTTTATTCTTACATGTGATAAATATTACATTATTTCCAGTCCTAGATTTGGCACATGCTAAGAAGCCAGCGAGTGTCATTTTTTATTAGTTGATATGGTTCCAAACCAATGAATTAGTTCTTCTGTGTTTTGATGAAATATCTTAAGAAAATCTCAAAGTACATCATGCTTACAATCGAATTATGATTGCAGTAGAATCACCGTTATGCATTTTCCTCGAATCCATAATTCACACGAAACACTGACATATTCTGACTGTACGAGAGTATCTAATTGTAGTTTCAGATTACTCCTTTCCTATGGACTCCACCTTGACCTACGCTTAGCTTCTTGAGGCAGAGAACAAAGCAGAGAAAGGGAACAGGATCACTTGACCTGGTCTCGTTTGGGTCAATAGTTAGGTTCGCCACGTCGTTGAATGCCAGCAATATTCTTGGCATCCAAATAGGCAAAGCACGAAGTGACCACACCTAAGTGTCAGGTGTTGGGAATAGGATGAAACCAGCAGGAGCAGAAATCGTCTTTACTAGAGTCAGCTGTGAGCTTCCTGACGGTGATTCTTTCGACGGATTGCGAATGAAGGGTGATGGATGGAAAGACTGAAAATCTCGAGAGAACGGTAAATGTCTCTTCTCGGGCTTGTAGTTGTAGACCGTCTCATTAGAGACAAAAAGCGTCATGATTCACATAGAAAACACACCTATTATTTTGATGCGAAATCCTTCATGAAATCTTTTTTCTCTTGATTGGTTCACAGTCGCAAGGCGTGGAACTAAAGGTCTCCGAATTCCAGCGTTGTTTCTATACTTGCGTGCGTAGTTGCTGTAGGAGGGAGGACTTTTTGTTGGACTTGGGAGGTGGGAACCGGGTTAAGACGTGGCTTGGGACGGATGATCGGCGGGGGGCAAGCGACTGTAGGGGCCTCATCGGAAGAGGAGTCAGAGGCAGAGGTGAAAGTTACAGGGGGGGGGGGAATTATCCTGTCTAGGAATGACGGTTTCCCCGTCGGGCAGCTGCGACGATCCTTTGAGGATGTCAGCGTATGTTTTGCCTAACTTAGAGTCTGGGAATTGAGCTGGAAGGGCAAGTCGGACTTTCTCCCTCCTTGGACAAGTGTAGGAGGTTGCTGAACGCAGAATAGTTCCAGCAAATTTGAAGCTCCATCTCCCTGGGGTTGTGTAGAACACTGAATCTCGCTTTTGGAAGATGGGAATTTCATCCCGTATTTCCCCCCCCCCTTGGGTAGTCACTCTTGGGGGGATTTCGGAGGAAAGAGACCAACCATCTAATATACATAGACGATGGTGACTGACTGACGCTAATTCTAACCATGTTCCAGAAGGGTTAGAAATCTGAAACTTGGTAAAGATGTACCTTTAGGGATGCAGAGTTCAGAAAAAATCCGACTTTGGAGGCACATGCCCTGGGGGTACAAATTTTGGGGGGAAATGTTTTTCTTAAATATATTTTGTGACAGATGAGGATGGCATTCAGAGCGTCAATTGCTTGTGCTGGGTTCGGTGGTATAGTGGTATCATATCCGATTAGCAATCAGAAGGTCCGGGTTCAATTCACGGCCATTACCTGGCTTTCTTATGGCTTTTTTTGCCTTCCATGTCCTGTTACTCATTCCCCCTCCATTACATTATTTTTGTTTGAGTAAAACGGAGAGACATGGAAAGCTGAAACTTGGCATGGACGTGCCTACCGAGACGATGAATTCAGGAAAAATGCAAAATTTTATATCCATGCCCTGGGGGCATATTTTAAGGAGCCGACGTATTCAATTTGAAGTGAAACTTTCTAAGAGACATGTACTTTTAACGGAAAACACTTACTATCGCAGCTACCCGCGAAGTAACACCAGCAGGTGAAAGGTTCCATTCGCACCGGAGAAGTCTGTTTTGAATATTCTCGCTAGTCACCAGGGACACCAGCGCCCTCGCCTCCTCTCTGAATACCCCACGCATCTGTGTCTTAGTCAAGTGAAAAATTGTCTAACTGAGGTGAAAAACACTGTAATACTTGCTGGACTCTTTCGTCCTTCCTCACGCTCTCCGTTTGAGACGAAAGGAGGAAAGGGTCGCCGTTTTTTTCCGAAAGCGATTGCAAAGAGCTACTAAACGTGTGAGTGGATAGTACTCAAGGTTTTCTTTGATTGGGATACAGATTGCGGATTAATGTGGGAAGGTCGCGAAATGATAAGGAAATTCCATTTATCTTTCAGTATTTCGTGCGGAACGGAGCAGTTTTCCACAATGAACGCTATTAAGGAAAACCCGAACGAGATGAAAAATTATTTCCTTCAATGGAAACCCGATTCCGACTGTGAAGTGGAATTTTGCGGACAACGAGAGGAGAACTCCTTTACGTGCTTTAGTTGGAGGGATCAATTCCGAGATTTTTTTCAAACAGCATGTAAACGTAAAAAAGTAGGAGACATAGTTTCCGCTGTGAATCGGAATCCCCTTCTAGAAGGAAACTCTATTGTCTTTTCTTTAATCGAAATTACTAGACATTTTTTAGAATGTCCCATGAGAGATTTTTTTAGTCATTATGTCATCCAACTTAAATGTCGGATTTATTCTGGGAGAAACCGGATGAGGGTTCAGTTCCAAACTGATAAGCTGAGCATTCATCTTCGACGCTTAATAATCTTTTCCTCAGGGTTTATTCAATGATAAGAGAAAGTAATGGGGTTACACTATGCTTTATTCACAACCACGAAGCACAAGATGGGGATAAAATGAAGGGAACCTCGGATCAGGATTTAGTGTGCCTTGAGGATCTTGGCGAAGTTACCCTCACTTGTCGTGGACTCTGAAAAAGGTAATCAAATTGTACAAAATTAATGGCGAATTATAATAGCACGTCTTTTTGCATAGTACTTCATCGTAAAGTAAAATGTACACCTCAATAATATTGGGAAAATATTTAGAATATTTTCAGGTCTTTCGATGAGGTGAGTTCTCAATGAAATGAACGAATCGTGCTAATGTTAGTACTCTCTTATTATGTAAGTATGACGTAAAATACTTACTAGCACAACTACCCGCGAAGTAACACCAGCAGGTGAATGGTTCCTCGAGGCAGACGCCGACAATTGTACTACCGGGGAAGGCTTCCTGGCATAACCCGAAACAGTCTTCTGGGTCGCATGCTGAACCTGCTACACAGCAACACGGCCCGTCCGGCTGCTTAGCATCTGGAAAATTAGGAGCGCAATTCTTCCATGTCGATTGCTTAGGGAAATATGCTTTATGGTAGCAAAACCAGTAATCATAAAGCAAGCAGAATCATAGCATTCTTTTCGATTATGCAAGTACAAGACGCGAACACCCATGCCATACTCGAAGGAGCTAGGCCCTACAGACACGTTAATGTCGGCTTAAAAATACATCAACATCTATTCCGCATACTCCAGTAAAGCAGTCATCAACAAGAAACTAGGTAAGCAAAGAGGTTTTCTAGGACGATATTCTTGATTACCACAGAAAACGACATAACTCAACAGGATGCAGAACATTTCCAGATATGTAATGATATGCAGCAGTCCTTAATGCAGGATTCCTTCAAGGCACTAGTCCACGGGAAATTCGGGAGATGTAAAAATGGGTCACTCACAAGCAAGAGCACAGATAGCGAGGAGAGCGAATATAGCCTTCATGGTGCTGGTCGTGAAATTCCTGAATTGAGACTTCGTCCGCTTGATAATGTTCTTCAGGCTTGAATGTGAGGATCTCTGCGACCTCAAGAGATTTTATTTGCTTTTAACAACGACTTTCCGTGAGAACGGATACACATTGTTCCTTAGATATGTGCGCATCAAATACGTGCGTTTCTGTGAAGGAAAAAAGAGGAATATCCGGATGGATGTTGAAATACCCGGACGTGGGATTTCCCTCCTCATCGTGTCGTTCCTATGAGAATTGGAGAAACTGGAAGTAGTATTTGTAATTCGGTATACTCTAAAAGTTTTCAGAAATTTTCATTCTTCGTCGTGAAAATTTGCGACTAAGAACGTGTAAAACCTGGATTCCCCTATTGTTTGGAAAATATTTCCTGCATTTCTTCGGAAATCCGAATTAATTTTTCTTTGCGGAATCTCCCCTTTTTTCTTCAAGAAATATTACGGCTAAGATACCTAAATTCGAAATCCGAAAATTTTCGAAAATTCAATTGAAAAATTGAAAATTCAAATTGAAAATTCGAAATTTCTAGCGAACGGCCTTTCTCCTCATTCGCGTCGGGGAAGCTTGGTTCGAATATTCTCGGAAAAACCCTCGTGACCATTTGGACAAAAGGGGCGGAAACTGGCGCTGCTGTCGCGACACCTTTTGAAGCCATCTTTTTGGGGTCAAACGAGCCTGTGAAACCACGTGGTACCCATGCCGGAGCATTTCTCTGATCCCAACCTCAGGAATCATGGTGGACGTCCGCCCGAAGTACAGCTTTACGAGCACTCGGTGGTGTGGTGGTATCATATCCGATTAGCAATCAGAAGGTCCGAGTTCAATTCACGGCCATTACCTGGCTTTCTTATGGCTTTTTTTGCCTTCCATGTCCTGTTACTCATTCCCCCTCGGTACAGATTATCAGCCTGCTTTCAAGAACGTCAGGAATTGAACATCGCAGAAAATGATCTGACTCCAGAATCACCACCGAAGTCCCGCCATGGCCGTAGTCACCAGTGTCCCACAATAAGCATTGAAGGAAGTGTGTGCCTGAGAATGGCATAGGCCTAAGCCTCCGTCTGAGGGTTAGACCTAGGCTAACAAAATGAAACCCCCCGGAATGTGCCCCCAGGGCACGTACCCCTAAAGTTGGAATTTTCTGATCCAGCAAAACAGAGGGCGCATGAAAGTTAAACAACTTGCAAATAAGTACCTGATGGACAGCATGAAGAAAAAATTCCACTTTTCTAATACTGTATATATAGACGATCGTGACTGACCGACTGACGCTAATTCAAAAAGGGAAAGGTATAAGGCTGAAACTGGGTGGCATGGAATTCTCTGAGTCTCCTTTTCAAAATAAACAAATTTTTGCTCTAAAACCCATAGGGGCTCTTTTTTTTAAGTCCCATTTTCTTGAATATTTTTTTCATCCAACGAAACAGATGCAGAAAATTTAAACTTCCGTCAGAAGTTCCTGTTTAATGGCTGAGTACAGGAAGAATCCTACTTTTGAAATGTCTCCTTAGCGTAGATTATTGGTGGGAAGTATTTCAAAATGTATTCTCCACCCTTACTAAAAGAGACACAAGAAAAGATTTCAAGTTAGGCACACATAGAATCATAGAAGTAAAGAGTTTGATTAAATAATCAAGACTTTCGACCCTATATGTCANAGACATGAAAAGATTTCAAGTTAGGCACCCTAAAAAAAATTGAAGTAATGATTTTGATGAAAATCAAGACTTTCGTCCCCATATGTCACGTATTTCAATGGGACGTACTATAAATACGTATTTGCCATTTCGCAAAGAATGAATTAATCACTATCCAAGGTAATGGAGCGCCTAAGGCGCGACAACAACGAGTTTGTTTGCCCGAAGGGCAAACAAACTCGCTAGTATATATACAGTATACTGTAGACGATGGTGACTGAGTTGACTGACGCAAATTCTAACCATGTTCTAGACATGATGAGAGGCTGAGACTTGGTACACAAATAGCTGTCAGGATGCTGACTTCAGAAAAATTCCAACTTTAGGGGTACGTGCCCTGGGGGCACATTCCGGGGGGTTTCATTTTGTTAGCCTAGGTCTAACCCTCAGACGGAGGCTTAGGCCTATGCCATTCTCAGGCACACACTTCCTTCAAGAAAACGGAGGGAACATGAATAGCTGCTACGTTGCTGACTCCAGAGGAAGTGCAACTTCGAATGTCCAACTTTTGGGGTACATGCTCCGGGGGCACGTTTCGGGGGAGGGGGGGATTGATTTCGCAGGCCTAGGCCAAACCCATGGATGGATGCTTAGGCTAATTCCACTCTCGTACATTTTCTTCCTTCAGGGAAGCGGGAGGGAAAAGAAATAGCTGTTTTTTTTCCATACTCTACAGATAAAGTTCGAGATATAAGGTACGTTCCCTGAGGGGATTGAGTTAGCAGGCCTATAGGTAATCCTGACAGACGCGGAGGCCTACACCAAAATTGCACGACCCATTCGCATGGAGGAACTTCTCCGTCCATCTGACTGAGAATAGAATCGTTCTGCCTCAGCCCGATGCGCGAGGCCTTCGACCTATGCCGTTGGGTCATAGGCGAAGGGAAGGACACGAGATGACGCGTACCGGTCCCCTTGCAGATACGAATGGGTTCTATTAATTTTTCTGACAGAGAAACGGTAGAAGACGTAGAAGACGTTTCATTGACACTTCGATATAAGGTGGCTATGTCTAATCCACTTACGGACGCTTAGGCCAATGATATGCACACTTCAACTAAACGGGCAAGTATAGCTATAGGGTGCATTTACGGAATGACGCGTTTTTTCATAGACAACTGTATAGAATCTTTAGAAGAGTTTGAAAAAGGGACTCCCATAGAGTCCTTGCGCCAGAATATATAATATAACGATAAAGTTCCCTATAGTCGAAATGGAATTATCGCCTTCAAACTTAGAAGTAATGTGTTTATGTGTGTGATACGGTCTTTTTTTTAGATTTATGCGCAAATAAGAGGGTGACGACCACAGCCAGGAATTTAATTCGATATCGGAACGTCAAAAGATGCACTGAATCTTCCTTAAGCTGGAAATTAGATGATGTCATTATGAATATTTTCTGAAACAATTTTATTTTTTCGATGCGAGCGCCAAAGGCGCGAGAATTGTCAAACCCATTATCCAAGGGGTTTGACAGCATCATTAGGGGAGACCTTCGAAAACAAACGCTATGAATGCATTATCAAATGTATTTGGTCATAGAGCGCCGAAGGCGCGTCCATAGCGAGTTTGTTTGCCAGAAGGCCAAACAAACTCGCTTGTAAGAAATATACTGACTCGTAGATGACGGAAAGAGGCCTTTTGGTTGTTTGCGATGCACCATTTCGCCATGAAAATTGAAATTAGCTGTCGTTCAATTCGGCTTAGCTTACTCCTGTAGCGTCCCCCAATTTTGCCGGATACCGTGCCGAAATTATGCCAGATTCAAGATAACCTCTGTATAGGCGTCTGGATCTTGTTTTTTAATGTATGAGGCACTTTTGTGCTGAGTTCATGAGTTGAGCTGAGAATGTAGCGGTGGTTAGCAGTGACTGATCGATGTGGTGGGATGTGGAGATATCCGAACATCCCTGAGAAAACAGGATGGAGCGCGCCATGGATGTCACGCATTCTGGAGGCATCCCCTCCTCAGACCTATTCTAGATGGTTCGAGGAAATTAAGATAGACCTAACGTTCCACGTCCACACTGAAATGGTTCATGAAACGCGAAACAGGCCTCAAATCGATGTCTCGAAGAACACGGATTCACCCTTATATCGTGGCCCCCGTAAGTCGAGAATTGAGCTTCTTTTAAAAGTAAAAAGGTAGGCCGTGGCTTGACACGAAGGGTGGCATGACTGTTGGTTAGGCCTAGGCCTAACGTTAGTGAGTCCCGTAAAGAAGAGGGGGGGTTTGGGGTTGAAGAAAAGGGAAAGGCATTGAAATTTAGTTTTCAAATTACTTCAGGTACATTATTTTAACGATTCGAGTCCCATACCCATCATATGACGGTTACAACTCCAAAGCACCTTAAAATCGCTGCGACTACAAGTACTAATACCGGGGAATGCTGGTGCGGCTCGATCAAGTTTCTTCGTGCTCCAGCAGACATCTTACCTTTATTTGAGAGAAGCAGTTGAAACTTAGAGATGTCCTCGACGTACTTTCCATCCGTGCCGAATCTCATAGAATGTCCCATGAGAGAGTTTTCAGACATTATGTTATCCGACTTTAATGTCGGGTTTTTCTGGGAGATACCGGATGAAGGTTCATTTCCAAATTGTTAAAATTCATCTTCGATGCTTGATACTCTCGTGTCATAAAGTTTAATGAATGACAAGAGAAAATCATGGGGTTAAACTTAACTTTATTCACAACCACAAAGCACTAGGTGGGGAGATGAAGGGGAAATTCGATCAGGGTTTAGTGTGCCTTGAGCATCTTGGCGAAGTTATCCTTACTCGCCGTGGACTCTGAAAAAGGTGTATAAAATGGTACAAATTTGGGGAAGAATCATAAGGGAATGTTTTTTTTTCCATGATACTTTATCGTAAACTAAAATTATTCAGAAAGTTTGGGAAAATATTTGGAATATTTTCAGTTGTTTCAGTCAAAAATGAGTTCTCAAAGAATT